AAATATGCTGACATTTAACAAAAAATAAACTCTTTTCTGAATTACATCATTCGTGTTAAATGATTTAGAAGTGAGCATAAAGCTTACACCGTCAATAATAGCATGCTGAAGTGTTCATGTCAGAGGGATACGGTGGATTGATTTTTAGCTGGAACTGAGTTTCAGGGCCTACTCAGTCTTTAAACCTTTTAAGTTGCCCATGTAACTTGCTCATTGGCAATCAAGAGGTTATAAAAAGAGGACCAGCTGATGTTGCAATCTAAGCAGTGGCCATGTAGTGGAAAGACTCTACTTTGGCATGTTCACTAGTGCTATTTTTACCTATTCCAGTAAGATCTGTCCTTGTGATGTTAAATTCTAGGACACTACCTGGAATTATTTTCTTCTATGGAAGTGCTGTTGCATACTTTGAGTAACACTTTCAATGAAATTAGCAAAACATTTGAGATTTAAAATATCTTCACAGTTGAAAATGTTTTTTTCTCCTGTCACCATAAATAAAGTTACAATTGGAGCTGTAAGATTTTTCTTACTTTTGTTTGCATAGTTTTTTGTCTGGCAAAGTATTTTCAGTGTTGTTTTCCTTTTCTACATTGAGTGCTTTAATGCCTGCCTCTCTCTCTCTCTTTTTTTGTTTTTTTCTCCTGTCAATCTCTTGTGAAGCTTAGCAGGGAGAATACCTTCAGGAGTCTAGAAAGGCAATGTGAATTTAAAGATAGGAATAATTATAGTATTTTGTTGCTGGGTTTTTTTTTTAACTTTTAAAAAAGACAAAATTGGGGTTCCAATTGTTTCCTCACTATGAGTGGTTTGCTTCTCCCTTAGCTTTGCTGTTGTCTTCGTTACACCATTCTACTTCTTGGATTTAGTAGAATCTCACATCTGCAAAAACAGCTGGCACTTTAGTCGGCTCACCTGTTTCTTAAACCTTCCTTGTTACCATCTCTGTTAGTAAATGTTCTTAAGGATTTTTCTTTCAAAACTGACAAACATGTCAATTTTTTATTCTTTTATGGCTATTCTGTCAGTTCAGACAGAAGTATTGCATCTGCTTCCTCTGTAACTCATCACACTTGTTTTATGATTCTTGTGTATGTTTCTTTGACAGATCTTGCAACATTAGTGTTTTAGGTTTTCAATCTAGAAAGTCTATTCTTCCCCAACATTTTTTTTTTCCCCGTCTCTTTTTTTTTCATCTACCATACTGACTGGTTTGATTTTGTCCAGGTTTGTCCTAGACTGTTTTCAATTTGACTTTCATGTCATCTTTTTTTTTTCTTTACTTCAGGAACAGGTCTTTCCAAATCTGGCCTATTACCTAAATTTGAGGCTTGTAACTGTGTCTTCATTCTTATCAGTTTACTAATTGAAAACCACATTATTTAAAAAACAAAAAAACAGGGCTGTGTCGTCGGCTGGTCCTGTGCTTATATTTACAGTGTTTTGAGGCTTCTCCGTTTCTCTCTGCTTCTGGCCCTCTTGTGATGTCTGGTCACAGTACTTTCTACACCTTTTTTTTTTTTTTCTGGTTAATCTGTAAACAAATCCAGCTGTTGATTCTGTGTAGGTTATTTTCTAAATACTTTAATATAAATATTTAGAAATATATACATAAATATTATTAAAATGTAAATATATATATTTTTGGAATATCTTTCTCTAGTCTTCATGTATTAGAACGAAAGAGCTCAGCTCTTTCTTTGGTGGGCAGAAGACAACATTCCTCCCCTTCCGCTAGTCTTCTCTTTCTTCCTCCTTGTATGTTTTTTATGATGGGAAACTGCATTCACAATTCTTCGTATGCTGGAATTTTAGTTTTAAAGATTCTTAACGTTGTTTCATCAATGAGATTGTTGTACTGGGATAGCATTTATTTGTCTTAGTGACCATACAGTATGGTCTTATAAAATACATTTCGTTTATGCTGTGACTTTGCATAAAATAATGGAAGGCCAAAAAAACCACTGAAGAGTAGAAAGAAGATAAATTAACTCACACTGATGTATTGCATGAAATAATTAGTTGATTATTAATTTGGTGTTGTGCATGTATGTAAATTCTATGTCTGTTAAAACTGTAAATCTCTGCTGGTTTTGTCTTGCATTCCACAGATGATGCACTTCATCCTTTGGCCATAGGACTTCAGTGACTCAAAGGAAAATTAAAAGCCTAAGTAACTTATTTTAACTTTCCTCGTACCCTTCCCCTCTTTCCTTCGCTTGTGCCATCCTTTCTTCCATGGTCCCTGCATCTTCTCTGGGGGAAGGGAAGTTTATCACAATTAAGTGCAGTGCTTCTGTTCCCTGGTTAATAATAAAATCTGCTTTGTTGTTTTGAAAATTATCACAAAACTAGTACAGTTTTTCAGTGTTTGCTTTATGAGAAGTATGCGTTTACCTTAAATCCTTACTTTTGTCTGTCGCCATCGATATTTACTTGGTGGGAAAACTTCTATGCAATTAACATGTTTAAATCTTTGTAATTGCCTGTCTTCTCCAAATAGTTTTTGCCCTTTTTCACACAGCTAGAGATTTGCTGTGAATAGTCAAGACTTGATATAAATCTTAGCTGCAACATTATCTTAAAGTGGTTGTTGATTTTTCTGAATACCTCTTAACAACAAAAAAGTGTTGTGAGGGCTTAATCGTCTGAAGAGAATTTGAAATAAATCCCTGCAAACTCATATAAAGAGTTGGTGCTTTATTAAAAAAAATCAACCAGAACTATAACTTGTGGAAATATATAATTAGATACTGCAAGAGATTGTTTGCTAGGAAAAAGAGAAATAAAGTGGGAAATGATTTCTCTTTGCAGGCCATCAAGGTGCTAAGTGCCTGACATATAATAATTTTATTTTTGTGCAGTCTGTAACTTCTGATTAAATACAGTGCATATTTTTTTCTGTTTTATGCAGGCTTCTCTATAAATACCTGTGCATGGTAAACAATTAAATAAGTTTAGAGCAGTCCATATAGTTTAGCACTGAAATACTCAAGTATTGCCTTTTTAGGTTTCATTTGTATTTCAGAAACTTATCTTAAATTCTATTCCTAGGTGCATTTATTGGTTATAAATTGGGGGGGGGGAGAGGGGAGAGTGGCAGGAACAGGAGCAGGGACATTTATACTATTATAAACTTACAGAAAAATGTCTTCCAATCCTTCCTTGGTTCTGTTTGTTGTGTCCCCTTCCCTATATTGCTATATGACCAGGGTCTTAGAATTGCAGTATTAACCTCCTTGTGGCACTGCTAGTTCTGGGACAGTGCCCAAATTCAATAAATTAAATTTATTAGTTTAAAGCTCCTTTGCATGACTACAGAGAACATTGAACTCTGAGGCTAGTTTAAGACTGGCATGTGGTAGTGTCTTCAGTGTGCAACTGAGAGAGGACAGAGCCAGTATTTCTTTGTGCTGAGATTTTTGGTCACTTTTGTCCCATATTTGAGAACTTGAGTGGGAAGGGCATTTGGTGGATTGCTGACACTTGAGTAACTTTTTCATCCTTGCTGTAAAGTGGATGAGTTCCAGGCAATTCTAAAGACAGTTTGGGGCTTTCATACATGCTTGAAACAATTCAAGCATGTGTAAGTCCAGAATGCAAATAGGCACATGTTTGAAAATGAATGCACAGTCAATAAGGACTTGTGGTGGGAAAAAAAATATTGTCCTAAGTCTGTGTTGACTGTTTAATGAAAATATAGGTGTAATCTCATAGCTAATTTTCAATTGGGCATCTGTTTTTTTTTTTAAATATAGTTCATGGCTTCCAGCCTATGTCTGGTTTACAGGACAATTCTCTTGCTAACATTGAGTTACCTTCTTGAAGGCTCCTCAGGCATGGATTAAGATTGTCTGTAAACTGCTCCTCTGACACCATGGTAGCAGTCCAAGTGCAGTTATACACACATTGCTGTTGACCTGTGCATGTACTGAAAGTCAAATGCTTTCAAGATGAAGGCTAATTATGCAGATGTGGGTGAATCATGTATGTGTAGGTCGATCATGTCACAAAGGAGAAGGCAGTTTTCAGATATTTTCAAAAGAGGCTGAGAGATCCGCTTTGTTAAAAAGAGTGAATACCACTTCTTTGTAGCTAAGAATATTGTAATTTTCCCTTACTATCCTAATTTTATTGTTTCTTAGGTTGTATCAATGGAGCACATTCAGGGAGCTTGGAAGACTATCAGTAATGGTTTTGGACTCAAGGATTCTGTCTTTGATGGCCCAAACTGTATTTCACCTACTATTGTGCAGCAGTTTGGTTATCAACGCCGAGCGTCTGACGATGGCAAAATATCAGATACTTCCAAAACTAGTAATACTATTCGGGTTTTTTTGCCCAACAAGCAACGCACAGTGGTAAGTCTGCGTTACCTGTATGTTAGAAATCTGTTGCTAATCCTGTGACATGTATGTGACAATAGAGATGCCAAACTTCAAGAAAAGGTCTTTTTGTGATTAGATAAATTGTCAAGAGTTTGTTAATTCTAGAAGAAATATTTTGAAAACAGTGTTTCTTTATTTTGAGAGCTTACATTTTTCTCAGTGCTGTGTTTAGTTAATATACATGAACAAGGTTTGTTTCTTAAATATCTTAAATATCTAACATTCTATATATCTATCACTGTTCTCTTCACTTGGATGCCCGTACTGAATTGTTGTAGCTTAAAGCTGAATTGAAACTTCTTAGGGGATGACACTTCTGTATAAGTGGTGATTTGGTGAGGTTTTTTAATCAGCTTAATCTGATTCTGCTATCACTCATTAGTGTTTTTTTTCTTTTGTCACAGGTAAATGTGCGAAATGGGATGACCTTGCATGATTGTCTTATGAAGGCGCTTAAAGTAAGAGGTCTCCAGCCAGAATGCTGCGCCGTTTTTCGGCTTCTTACTGAACCAAAAGGGTAGGGGGTCTATAATGTTATATAAGAATCTTTTAACTAGGTAATTTAAAAATCTAGTTTTTAGAATAGTGGCAATAATGTCTTCTTCCCCTCTACTGCTAGTTTCTTTTAAGAGTGCAACTGAATTGGAAAAATTGAATTGGAAAACCTTTTTATTGCCTTCCTTGCACCTCTTGCTTCCTGGAGTAATACAAAAAATTAATTTAATTTTAATTTAATATCAAAGCTAAAATAAATATCAAAGATGTGCAGAATTGAGAGGGCAACTTAAGTGCTTTTAGCATCTGGGAGGGTTTTTTTTTTTTTAATCACACTCTAGGTTAAATAGTGTGGTATGCATTCATATCTGAGCTACAATTCTCTTCTGTGTTCATAGTAGTTCATAAATGTCACTGTTGGTGATTCTTGGCCAACTTGAATGCAAATCCCCTTCTGTTCAATTTTAAGAGTATACAGCCCTCTAGAACTTATCAATGTTTGGATTTAAATCTCACTTCAGATATTCCTTATTTTTTGTAGGACCAGGGATGCTGCTATTAGATACCAAATGATTCTTTTACAAGCTGAGGGAGTGAAGGTATCTCATGGAGTTAATACATTTAACTTCACACCTCAAAAGGCTTGGGCTTAATGCTCTTTTATGCCTCAGTCATGAGACGGTCATTTGTGGGTTTACATTTCTGTGTAATTTGGAGGTCCCAAATAATTTTAGTGCTGAAGCACATCATTTGGATTTCATGTCACTTAGTCTGCCATTCATAATTTATTATATGGTGTTTATAAAGGTATTTCTGTGACACCACCATAAATTCTAAATGTCTTATTTTACGTAAAATAATATATAAATGACTTCTGTGTTCAAACAAACAAAAAAGAGTTGAATTCCTATGTCTTCAAAATTGGTAATTCCTTACAGTTTTTTGTTAAAAGTTGCTGAAATATAGCTCATTGTAACAGATTAGCCCACTTTTGTATTTTTTTCAGTTTATTTAAAGTACAAAAAGCTTACATTAATGATTAGACTTTACTTCTTTTTTTTCGCGGTCTCCTAAGTAATTTTTATCTCCCCACTCTTTCATTCTTAAGCAAAAAAGCACGCCTGGATTGGAAGACAGATGCTGCTTCTTTGATTGGAGAGGAACTGCAAGTGGACTTCCTTGATCATGTTCCGCTCACTACACACAATTTTGTAAGGTTTTTCTCTTCTGCACTGTAGTATAAATTGTATCAGATGACCCAGATATTCAGTCAATTATTTTTTCAGGCATTAGGTGCCTTTTGGCTTATATACACAGGGAACTCCCAAAGTGATGATGCAACTCTCTTTCCTGCATCCCCAGTAGCTAAATACCTTTTGATAATGAAATGCTGGAACACAGTTAGTGTCTTTATACAGTTTTGGAAAATTACAAATACGTTTGTTTGCAGTTGGTCATCTAAAAAGCAATATTGCTCTCGGCATCTCGAGAAGGCTTAAATTTGGAGTTCTAGAGGCAGGATCACTTTGGTTCTTTTTTTTTAAATATATTTCTATTTATTTATCTTCAATATCTTCTAATATCTTCAATTATTCAGAAGCTTTGGGAAAACATGTCATTTTAAGATACTAATATTTCCATAAACTGTTTTACTTACTAAGGGTTTTTTTCTGCTTTTCTTGTTCAGGAGGTATTGATCGTATATATGACAAATACATATAATACTCAAGTGAGGCTTTGGGGCACTGATAAATTTTATTTGCTATTTAACTGTTTATGTCAAGTTGTAAAGATGTTAATTGCAGCTAATTAAGAGAGTTGATCATTTAACGTGTTTTTTTTAGGCCAGGAAGACATTTCTAAAGCTTGCATTTTGTGACATCTGCCAGAAGTTCCTGCTAAATGGGTTTCGGTGTCAGACATGTGGTTATAAATTCCATGAACACTGCAGCACAAAAGTTCCAACCATGTGTGTCGACTGGAGCAATATCAGGCAACTCTTGTAAGAAAAAAATCTTTTTTGGTATCAGTTGTAATTTGCCATGACAGAAGAGCATGAGTTTTTAATTGGTGATTATAGAGGTGAATTTGGGTTGTTCAGAAGCATTATCACTTTCATCAATATAAAGAACTTCATGAAACAGCCAGCAATGACTGTCTATGCCCAGATGATGAAGGCCATTTACATTACATGCATTTTGTTCTTGCTGTAAATTTAATACTCTGGGACAAGCAATCGAAGGTCTTGAAAGATTAGGCACTTGCTCTAATGCTATATTGTTTCCACACAGGGAGACACAGTAATTCCTCTTGCATACTGCTACTATTTGAAGGTGGGGGAAGCTAATGGTTTGGTTGATCTTTAGCTATTGGAAAAATGAATGGTTCAGAATGACCATCTCTTTTTTTTTTCATTTTGAAAATACATGTATTTCTGAGAAAAGTGATAAGGCATAATATATTTCCAATATTGATTAGAGGGAAAGTTCAAAATTATTATGGTGGAAGTCCAGTTACACAAAAGTACTAAAACCTGTAATGGAAATGTCAATGATTTAAAATATGTTTTAATTACTGATTGTGTTTTTCTAACTAAACTTTGTCATGTAGTTGTGTGCTTTCTTACGTACACCAGTCATCAGACTACGTGTAGGATTAATTACTTTACGCTGTGCTGTACGGGTTTAGTAGAACTGAATTTAAGTTTGGTCTAGAAAACTCTACTAGGAAAAACTGAAACAGAGTGTAAAAGAGATTTGTGTCTTCAGTATTTAAATTCAGAAATAACTTTTGAAAATTTCCTTTGGGAGTCTGCAGACATAGATTTAGTCATATCACACACAGAGTAAAAAAGCTGCATAAAGGCGAAGCCATGTTCATGAAGTTAACTCTAATGAAAGAATTGGCCCTTTAAATCCTAAGCTTCAACAGCATTGTACAGGAGGTAGTGTAGCAGTTGAAAGTGTAATTGTTTTTGTTGATATTTCAGATTGTTCCCAAATTCAAATATCAGTGACAGTGGTGCCCCTGCACTACCTCCCTTGACAATGAAACGGATGCGGGAGTCTGTCTCCCGGATACCTGTTAGGTAAGCTAGTATTTCCTGTCATTTCTGTTTTGGGAAATACAATTGTTTAAAAACAAAAAATCAAAATGCCCCCAACTCCTCAAAAGTACAACAGTAATGTAAAAGGTCAGGATGGATGTGCAAGAAGGCAAGACCACTTCATTGTAGAGATTATGTAATAGCTTTACTTGTTCTTAGATTCAGGCAAAACATTCATTTGTGATTTTATAGTTCTAGTTTTTAACCTTAAGAATTTAAGTGAGTTATTAAAGGTTTTATTAAAGACTCCCTTTGATATCATGCTTATTAGTTTTGTATGTCATCTGATCAGGTAGTACATGTAAATGTTTGACTTACTTGTTTTGCATGACTTGAATGCTTAACCAAAAGTAGTATTCTAATGTTATGCTACAAAGAGGAGCTTAAAAGGAGAACAGTGAGAACTGTGAAAATACGCTCCTCTTAAAGGAAAATCCGAGGTTTTAATTTCCTGTAGATTTATATGCTAAAATAAAAGTTGATTCCCTTCCTAAGGGGCCTGTGTTCTGATCCTGATTTGTGCTTGTATTCTTTTCCTTGACATTTTAGAGCCCGAAGAGGGCAGGCCATCTTTTGTTTTTTCTACAGCCTTTTGACAAATGTTGGCCTATTCAGGAATGAGGGATAGAGCACAAAGCTGACCTGTAAATGACTTTATTTGTTCATATATCTTAGAGGGAACTGCATCAGTAATTGATCTTATGTTCTCTTTGCCATCTTATTCTATTTCCATTGTTGAATAGTGATTGATTTACTTGATATTCTTTTAAGCTTTTTGTGAAGGCTGGCTGACTTCAGTTAAGCTACTTGAGTGTAAATAGGGTTGATTGGCCATAGCCATGATTATTAGCTCTGCTTTAATTGTATTTTACATTGTTGGCCTCCTTTTAACTGGTATTGGGTTTCATGACTTCCTTGCTGGCTGTTCTGTGTGACCCATTGAGCAGTCTTGCAAATCTTCATAAACTTAGGGCTTAGCAGGAAAGGAGCTTTTAAGCTATGCTTTTAATGGGCTTGAAATGAGGGGGTGGTTTAAATTTTGCAGACCTGAGTTAATCCAGCAGAGAGATTTTTATCAGTATATTAAATGTAATTTGATAGGGATTGAGGCAAACCACAGTAATTTTTGTAATGGCAGAAATGTAGAATAGTGTTAAAGATACCAGGCAGGTATGTTGACTGTCAAAATCCTTCCATCAAAATTCTAAAATTATTTCTGAGTTAAACTGGGCATGATTTAGCTGACCAAACAGTTTAGTTGGCAAATAATCCCAGCTTGTCCTCTGTTTGGAATTCTGTGTATATTGCTCTTGGACAGGATGCATTGAACAGTCTATTTCAACTGCTACTAGAGAGAAAAAGATAACCGTAACTTTCCCTTTCTCTGTTCCCTTCTCAGTTCCCAGCACAGGTATTCTACACCTCATGCCTTCACATTCAATGCATCAAATCCTTCCTCTGAGGGCTCCCTTTCCCAAAGACAGCGATCTACATCCACACCAAACGTGCACATGGTTAGCACTACAGTGCCTGTAGACAGCAGGATAATCGAGGTAATACTGCTGAGGGGAATAGTATGTAGTTAAACTAAAATTGCAACTGGCTCCGTAATTACTACTGGTTGGTTTTTAGAGTTTAATGTGCTTCTGTTATTTGCATAATGTGTTCCTTAGTTGTTTGACTGATGAAGAATATAGATGGGATATTTGCCCAAATAGCTAATAGTTCTTTCTTCATGCAGTGTTTATCACCTTTGCTGAAGTTCTAGGTAGGTTTTGGTAACCATTCTTTATAAAGATGTGAGGGATCTTAACACTCAAAAGAGTATATCTAAAATGTTATTTGAAACATGCGTCTGAATTTATTCTAAGGTTTTTTGTTTATTTTAAATCTTACTGGATGTACTGTAGGTCCACATGTAGTTCACAGGGTCTCCTTCCTTAGACTGGGACAAATGAGGGACAATTTTTTGAAGTCAAGACTAAAGGAGAAGGTTTGTTTGTTTGTTTTCTTTTGAGATAACTTTGACAAAATAAGGAGTGATGTACTGGAAAACCTTGCAGAAACAGTGCTGCAGGACTGTGGAGAGAACAGTGTTTGTTTTTTTGCTCTGGGATTATTTAAAAATTCTTAAACCGAACAAAATCCTTACACTGCTTCTTCAGTTTAAAAGCTGTATAGCTTTATAGGCTGAAATGTGGCAGGGAAGTCCTTGGGACCTTTGGTGGAGCAGAAGCAAAGAGTGTTACAGCACTACGAAGCTTTCTTGGAATGAAAGCTTTATGTCAGCCAAGTTTCACAGGGCAAGATATCCGACCCTTCTCCTGTTTTCTTAGGCTTGCCACTTGTTTTGTTGCTTCAGGAGCCTTCTGGATGATGCCGTTTTATGGCACAAGAAAGATCATGAAACCGTCCAGGAGAATATTAAATTCTATAATATGATGAGCTTTAAAGGAGATACTTTCTTTATATATTGCAGTAAAGAAATGCTTTCTCCTGTGCCCTTCTCGGTATCATAGAGAATTAAATGGAAGTAGCTGTCCTGTCTTAGGAGCAATACCTACTTTTCTAAAAGGCTTAAAGGCTTAAATCCTTTCTAGTAGGATATGAGAAAGACCATCTTAATAAAGCGATTTCCTGAAGTGTGGCTACCAAGTGGAGTTTTAGATTTGAGGAGGGTTGCTTTGTAAGTTTTACTGCACTAGATTATCATATAATAGCAGATTAGGTTACTTCTTTCATTTATCTTTAACTTTTTTTTAAATTTTCTTTTTACACTCCCTCTGTTCTTTTCTTTCATTTGTTACTGTGTTGGCTTAGAATAACAGCCTGAATGCCTCTCCCAGTTCCTGGTGCAGACGATTTTGTCTGAGGGGAAGAGTAGGTATTTTCTTGGTGCCTCTTGCTTACTTGTGATTAACAGGATTGCTGTAACTTGTAAGCCATGGCAGTGTCCACATGAAATGTGTAATCTGGAATTGATTTAATGAAAATCTGTATGGCATGTTTATATTTAAATGTCAAGAACACTAATTGGAAGAGGCAGATCGATAGAGAAGCTTCATTTCTAATTTAATTGGATGAATTTGTATTGCAAAGCTTATTTGATAGTATGAACTTGAATAAGATCAGGTTAGAGATGTATTTGATCTTACATTGTTTCAAGTAAAACCATCTTAAACATATCTTATTGTGTGGCCTTTTTCCTCTGGAAATTATTTAATTGAAATAAAATGTATGAAAACCTAGATTAAAAATATGATATACTAGCTTTATTTCACGTCAAAGATGAGACTACAGCATTCATGTGTGTACTATATGTATTTTAACAACAATTCTGAACAACACTGATTTCATTTGTTATAGGATTTGTAAAAAGGAAGTAATCTTTAATCTAGGGCTGAAGTGCAACAATTTTTTTTCCCCTTAATATATGTAAGGATTATGAATGTAAGTATCAATAATTTAAAACTACTTACTGATTTTTATGAGCTCACTTAAAGCTAAAAGTTTGAAGCTGATTTAGAAAAAAAAATGTTATTAATACCTTTAAAATATTTTATTGCCCTCAAAAAGGACTAAATTAGTAAGTTAAAGTCCTTCATAATTTGTGCAGGTTTTAACCCACTCAAGTGGGTAGAGGAACTCTAGACAAATGCTGTAATATTTAGATTCAAACATGGGAGAATGTAATTAACTATCTAAGACTGTGTATTTTGTGAAACCTTACAATAAGGGAAAATCTGGGTAATTTGGATGGCTTATATCTAGGTGGTTGTATTCCACCACTTTATGGTAGATTGTAGGCTTTTTCTGTCCTTCTGTGAAATCTTTATTATACTAACTAGTTAGAAAGTTTGAATTTACTTTCATTAACCTTTACAGTATTTAACATTTTTGTAGTGCATGTTCTTGCTTTGTACTTACACAGTACCTGGATATTTTACCTTTCCTGTATGTACTTTGGGATAATGCATAGCAGGTGAGAAAAGTTGTAAAGTTATGTTTGTCAGAGCTTAGTCGATCTTGTGCATGGCTGTAGAATTGTGTCGTAAAGTGCCTGTGGCATGAGGTGAGTGTTGTTGCACTGTATCAGCTGGTGAACTGTGTAAGGACTTGCTGTTCTTCAAATATCAATCTGTGGAAAAATGTTTTGAAAAATCAGATGTTTCTATCATAGAGCACGAGACTTAGCCTTCTGTGGGTTTCAAGTAGTGCAGTATGGATATTTCTAAATATATCTTGATTTGGAGTAGCTTAGAGTCTTTTAAAAGTTTCCCTGTTTGTAACTCAGAAATTTCTTTCAAAATGTGTCTCTTGAACATAGCTTCTGTAATGATCCTGTATCTCCAAATCTAAAATACAAGCATACAGGGTGGGAGTGCAGATAGCTCTTAAGGTGTTTTTTTCCTCTTCTATGCCTTTAAAGAAAGACAAGAAAACACCTTTTAATATCCTTTGAATATTTAAATATGTTGTAAGAATTCACAAATTGCATGTTTTCTAGCAAATAGGGTTTTTTTTTTAATGACTTGAAAATAACCAAACCAGCATCTTTTAGAGCGTACAGATCAATAAAACCATACGATACTTGACCAAAACTGTCAAGAGGTGTTTCAACATAAGCTTGTTCCTTTGTATGTTCTCATATATTTATTACATTTATTGATCTTCTCTGTTTTAGGATGCAATTCGAAGCCATAGTGAATCAGGTATGGTTACCAAAAATAAAATAATATATAATATTTTTTTTGTGCTTTTTTTTTGACTCATAACTTATTTCTTCTGTTTTTATATTTAAGCCTCACCCTCTGCTCTGTCGGGAAGTCCTAACAATATGAGTCCAACTGGCTGGTCTCAGCCCAAAACCCCTGTCCCAGCCCAAAGAGAGAGAGCCCCTGGATCTAACACGCAAGAAAAAAATAAAATTGTAAGTAATGTAGTATTTATTGTTTAAATTTTAAAATTGAATGGAAGTAATGGATTATAAGGACAAATTTCTGTATTTAAAGGCCAGTAAAATTTGATGGTTAACTTTTTGGGTTATTGCACACTTTGTAATACATATGTAGTAATGACAGATTTTTAACGAACTTTTGGGGTATTTAGTATTTTCTTAGCAATTAACATTTCTCCCTCAGTTCCAGGTGTCTTGTAAAACCTTCCCACCCCCTGCCCCCACAGATTACCAGATTATAAAACCTGTAAAGTTTCAGTCCATCTGAGGGTTGTATGGTGAAAAACTTAAATGCCTTTGGAACGTAAATGTATATATATGTTTGATTGCATAAATGTGATTTAAGTATTTATTTCACTTTTGTTCCAGAGGCCTCGTGGACAAAGAGATTCCAGTTATTATTGGGAAATAGAAGCAAGCGAAGTCATGCTTTCTACCAGAATAGGGTCAGGTTCTTTCGGAACGGTTTACAAAGGCAAATGGCATGGTAAGCACTTAACAACATTGATACTGTTTGAAAACATTGATACTACAATCCTAAAAAACAGCAATCATTAAAAAGATAAAACTGTTCTAGTGGTTTTGAGTACTTACAACTGAAATTGCTAGGTGAGAAATAATAATTAGCTAATTATAGCATTTAAAAATAGAAGGTTTGACAGGCTAGATGTCAAAATCTTTTTTTTAACATGCCATTTTGTACAAATTTCTGCAACAAATTATTTTCTGAAAAATGTGCTTACTTTTTATTAATAGGACTTGGACTGAGTAATTTCAAAGTCTCATGCTAAATTATAATTTTAATAGTCTGTGATTCAATTAGCATACCCATATTTATGGTGGCAGTGAGAGCAAATGAGTATAAATATACTGTGGAGCATCTCTAAGGAAAAAAATGGTTGATGTGAGAATTTAATGGATAAAATTAGCTGGAATAGTTTCTAAAAGAGCCACATCAAAGGATTAGAATTGTGCTCCAATTTTAGGGCTTTTGATTTAGACGCAAACATACCTCTTCAAACTCTAATATAAGTAGCATTGTTGTTGTAAGATAAGCTTAAAAAATCAGCAAACTTGGCTCTTCTTTTTCCCTCTATTTTTAAAGCACAAATACTTTTATATCTTTGAGCCCAAACATTGCCAACATCAGTGGAAGGACTATTCTTATAATAAAGCTAATTAAACAGTTAAATTGATTTTTTTATTATATAAGCAAAAAGAAACACGGAAACTAAAGAAAAAGCAGACTGAGTAAGACTTAGTAATATGAAGTAGTCAATGTAAATCAAAAAGTCAATGTAAAGTGCTGCATCAAGAATTTCAGAGTGCCAGATAGGAAATGCATGCAGCCACAGGTTTGCAGAGCACCTCCACTTGTGTTTTTACAGAATGACAGTTTGTAAAGCTGTCTGCTAATTTGATGTTGTAGTTGTGGTAACTGTATGTTCTCCAGATTCCTCTGTAAAGTCAAAAGTTAAACTCCTTCTGATTATACAAATGCAGCAACAAAATATTGCTAAATGGAATTAATCGAAGCGAGCAGATTGCTGCAGACTTCAGTAGAAATTTCACATTATGCTAGTGGTGACATGCCCAGCTGTGAGGGGCTATTGCAGTGAATCTTTGGAGCACTTGTGCAAGGACTGTTAACGAGGTTTATACAGCTAACTATATGCAAACATATTAGGTTTCTAATAAGCTTCCCTCACTTAGTCTTCCAAAGTGAAGGTGAAATTGATAGTGTCAAGGACAGTCTTACCCTGAGCAGTGTGTGTCTCATTGAACAGGTATCTTGCACTTCCATATTTTTCCAGATTGTTCTGATGGTTAAGTACTAATTTTGATATTTGCAACACTTCTGTTACAGACCCCCATTTGGATCCTGTAGTGTCCTGTAGCATGCTCCTAAATTTAAAAGGAGGAAAGAGAACCAAGGCAGTTTAAATGGGTTGGAAGACTACCTATCATAAACACATTTTCCCCTTGACCCTGGTAATCAGTTCTAGGTTTTTGGTGGTGGGGGGTGGTGGAAGATGATTCTCTTCAGATTGTGGCTGAAAAAAACAAGTGCTAATATGTCTCTATTTCTGTAGAGAAACTATTTGGGGAATGCATCAGGGCTACAAAACACTGGCAGCTCAGTAAAAAAGTGTGTTTTGTAACTGTTAGATTAAAAACATCTCTTAATCAATGGAGGAAATAGCAGAGAGCACATCAAAAAATAATCTGAATACGTGTGGCTTGTAATTGGTGCTTATAGCAATTTACCTTAAACTCTTCCTAAATTTTTCAAATACTGATAAGTCATCTATTGGTCTCGAACATTAATGTAGTTGTGGCAGGAGTTGGCTAGTTTAAAGCCTCATTTTAGTAGCCTTGTGAAAATGTAGCCTTTCTATTTAGTGTGTAAGTAGAGAAATCTGTAAGCTGAAAATCTGAGATGGTTCTCTTTGGGAAGATTCCAGAAGGAATAGGAAGAATACTATACTGACTGAAGTTAAAGAACGCTATAAATGCGTAAAAATGTATTCAATAATCGTGTATCTTTGACTTCAGATTACACAGCAAATTAAGCAACTGTGATCTTTCTGTGTTCTTTCTCTGAAACTTTCAGTTATTGACTTGCATATCCTTTTCGTTGTCTGTTTGCCACAGGGCTAATGTTGTCTTTTTTGTTTTACTTTTATGTATGGTTGCTATCCCTATTGTATTCAGTTGATTGCTGTATAGAGAGCCAGACTAACATATTTTCACACTTATCTGTGAAAAGAGGCCATCTAAGAAAATAATTGGCAACTATACTAGGACAGGAGTCTGTCATGCTAGAGACTTAATAATATAGGTGATGGTTCAGTAATTCTTCAGTGGCAGCAGCTTTTAAGCTATGGAATAGGCCTATTTTGGAGTATAGCATCTCAGATCTGAGGACTGATAAAGTGTCAGTATTTCTAAGCTCCTTTTGCCTTTCTGATAGAATGTCAAGACAAGTTAATCCCTTGAACTTTAAAATGTTCTGTCCATCCTCAGTTAAAATGAATGTGGTGGTTCCCCTTTCACTGGGGAGCTCGTCAGTACCACTTTCAACTTCTATTGGAACCGTCAACTCCATTTCACTATTGCACCTTTCCGAATCGATGTGATTCTGCTGACTCCTGAGCATGCATTGTAAAGTTGTTCGCAATTTCTGTACAATCTCTAAACAGATGGCACCAAAACATCACACATTCCTCTCTATTACCCTTCAACACATACTGGTATCTAAAGCAAACATTAACAATGAAAGCAAATCTTTTTTGAGTAAAATTTCAAGATTTTTAAGTAAAAAGCGTATTAGTGTTGTTTTGCAAAACAGTTTATTTTGTTGTTTGTTTTTTAGTAACTCTTATGATAAATGTATTTTCAGGGGATGTTGCTGTGAAGATACTAAAGGTTGTAGATCCAACTCCAGAACAGTTCCAAGCTTTCAGAAATGAAGTGGCTGTATTAAGGTTTGTGGTGTGTTTGCTAAATTCTGATATGCAAAGGCACTGTATTTAACTACTGCTCCTTTTAGTTATTTTGCCCAGTATACTGTGCTTCAGAGCAAAAGCACTTGTCCAGACAGAAAGAATAAATAAGAGTTCATACAATGATACTTTGAATACTGTTAAAGAACTAAAAGATACCAATCATAATTCGGAGTGTTTCGATGGTTCTTCGCTGTTTCTTAAAGTGTCTGGGTAAATGATACTAACTTCCATAATCTTCCAGGTCACCCTTGGCATGTAATAAAAGATGGAGACCAGTAAATTCGGGCATTATTGTCATCACTGTACAGACTACTTGAACTGTGCCTTTCTAAATTGTAGTATAACTTCTTATTCAAAATCTATTTCTGATCCATGTAACTGTTTTCTGCTTTTAAGTAATGTTTCTGTAATATTGTTAACTATAATGTTAGAACTGTATCCTCAAGCTGAAACAGTTAGAAAATATAAAATCAGTCTTGTGTTAATTCCTTTACAGTATATAATTACCCTCCCTATCAGGATTTAATATTCTATCTAAAGTTGTCACTTTTTTCACAGCTTTTGGGGTGTTTTCTGTTAACTTGATCACTTAAACTTTTACTGTTAGTAATTTCAAAAAGCCTGAATTTTCACAACATCTTTCTTTTTAAAGAACAATAATAAAGATGGTTTTAAATAACCTTCTAAACAAAAGTATTTTCATTAAAAGGCAGAGAATCAGCTGATCTTTGTTTTGTGAAAATAGTTATTAACTACTGTGGGATTTTCTTTTTATTTTCAAAAACAAACTTTACATAAACATCCACATACTTCACAATTTATTTTTCAGGGAACTTTTATTTTGGGACTCAAAACACATTCCTTCATCTAGGAATGAATGTTTCAAAGAACTTCAAGGTGTTGTTTTTATAAAGATACTAATTTTTCTTTCTACTATTATTTATTAGGAAGACTCGGCATGTTAATATTTTGCTCTTTATGGGCTACATGACTAAAGATAACCTGGCTATTGTTACACAATGGTGTGAAGGAAGCAGTCTGTATAAACACCTGCATGTGCAAGAGACCAAGTTCCAAATGTTCCAGCTCATTGACATTGCCCGGCAGACAGCCCAGGGAATGGAGTGAGTAGGATAAACAATGGTGGCTATTTTAATTCCTTGGAATGATTTTCCCCTCTTTGCCTTTCCTAAGACACAGAGTTACTGCTTTAAAATAAATAATGGGTCATGAAAAGATGTCAATATTGTGTACAGAGTAAGGAGTTAATCTCTGAATGTTTGAATCAGTCTTTCAGAACTACTTAAATGTTATTTATATCTTAGTTACATAGATTTACAATTGTTTTATGTTCTGATCTGTGTTAAAAGACAGTTAAGAGGGTAAAGGCAAACACTCAAATGAAAAAGTAAAGATTCCGTGCAGTCTTATTTGAGCATTGTGTATGCATGCTTACTTTCATCCTTACTGGTTTTTTGCACGGACTCTTGCCTTACGTTAGATCCATAGTCTAATGCCACATATTAACTATCAGCTTCCTCCCCCCGTAATGCACAGGGCAGGGGCTTTACAGGGAGCCAGCGCCTGCTACATTTCTCCTTTTCCCCAGACTAGACTTGTCCTGTAAATTGACTAAAGCAAGAGAGCAATGAAAATACAGCTGGGTATATCATGAACTGACACAGTCTCTATCAGTAAATTAAAAAAAATATATATAGGCAACATGTATGAGAGCACTTTCCTGCTTTTTTTTCTCCCCACAGCTATTTACATGCAAAGAATATCATCCACAGAGACATGAAATCCAATAGTATCCTTTTCTAACTTCATCATATTGCCTTTAACGTGAGGGTGTTTGGTTGTTAATATGGAGTGCTCTTGTGGGGTTGAAATACCTGTTTCGAATGCATGCAGCTTTGCCTAACCTGCCTGCTACTTTCCTGATTGTTGTAGTTAAAAGGAAATAAAGATGTGCGACGGTGCTACTTCAGACTTGACCCGTTTTAATCTACTGGTATTTATGCAATGTATTTCTATTATACAGACACCGTGTTGCACTCTTTGCTTGCTGGGGTGAATGCATGCTTATGTGTATGCACAGGCATGTGTTTTGTTGTTGCTTTCTGTATTTTTAATTACTTGAAATTCTGTCAGAAGTAAAGCCAAAAACCATAATGTAAATTTGGGAAAACTGAGGCTTTACCAATATATTTCTTACAAAGATAGGAATTTTTTAATATAAATGGAATAAAATTATGTAAACTGATGTTTTTTTACCTTTGAACATTTCTGCTTTAGAAACTGCTAAACAGAGTGTCTATTGAGATAGCTCCATAAACAGAAATTTTTACAGAATTTCTTTAACAAATATTTAGATATATTTCTCCATGAAGGCCTCACAGTGAAAATAGGAGACTTTGGTCTGGCAACTGTAAAATCCAGGTGGAGTGGATCTCAACAGGTGGAACAGCCCACTGGTTCAGTCTTGTGGATGGTGAGAGAAGTATTTTACTGCTTTTAAATGTTTTCTTTTTGTTAATATGTATTTGGCAGGTGAAGGCAGTAACTCATTGTATTTGTGAAAGCTTTAAATCATAATTATTGTTAATATATACTGTTTATGCTATGTAGACTTTTATTCCAGGGATTATAGCACAGGGAATAGTTGAAAGAATTTGTTGGTTTACTCTCAACTATATTGTTTCTATAAAATGTGGAATAGCAGTGACTGAGCTTTTCTACAGCTGTAGATAAAACTTGTCAGAGGTCTGACTAGTTTTCAGTTGAGTTCCCTCTCTCTGCTTTTCCATTCTACTTCACTTCTCTTGTCCATCCTGTTTCCATGTTATGTTAATCTTTTTTAATTAAAAATTTTCTTCTTCTACAGGCACCAGAAGTAATACGGATGCAGGATAGTAACCCATTCAGTTTTCAGTCAGATGTCTACTCCTATGGAATAGTATTATATGAGCTAATGACAGGAGAGTTGCCATACTCCCATATAAACAACAGAGATCAGGTAGGAATAATTTATTGTTGAAAATATTTCAAGTGCTCTGTTAATCCACTTAGTGTTTAAAGCTTTTGCTAAATCAGTAAAATCTCAGTATTTTATGTATTAGCTCTTACGTGAAACTTCCTTTTTGCTGTTAAGAGTGCTCTTAGAAAAACAAAGTTGGATTCTGTGCTTTTTCACTTACTAAGTGAAAAAAACAATAGCTGTTGTCATTCTTAGTTTGTGTGAATTATTCTTTAGTAGATTTTATTCTTACCAAGTCAGTTAACAAGATAACTTTAAAGAAACACATTAAAGATTGAAACCTCAACTGTGCTACTCAGTTGAATGCTTTTGCTTAGCAAGGGTAGAACTAATCACCAAAGCTTTTCTTTTGCAGGGCATGGACTTGAAGTAGATCCCTTTCATCTACTTTGCTGATCCTTGGTGGTCTTTTTTTTTTTTTTTTTTTATTAACAGAGATCTAATAATGAAAACACAGTGGGGGGGAAAAAACGCTAGACTTTAGTCCATAGGATGTCTTGCATGTTTGTATTCCAAGCAAGAGAGGCCCATTCTGTTAAGTTAGTTTTTGCTATTGGGCAGGTTATCTGCAATTTGGGAAACTGGTGTTTGTAATAGTGAAATTACATGCTAGCTTTAATGATCATTAGCCCTGCAAAATATGTTACACATGCCATTCAAGTAAGTTTTCCTGGGAAGGATAGATTATTTGCTGGAGGGCTATATTAGGACCTGATTTAGCAACTTGGTAGCATTGAACTGGCTCTGTGGAGATGTTAGATGTTGCAAGACAAAACAATGACACAGTTATTTGAGGGTTTTGTTTGCTTGTTTTAAAGGCACTGCTTTACAGCATTGATAGTCTCATCAGTATTGTGTAGTCAACTATTAAGGTAACTAAAAGTCTGATGAAAGTCATAAATAATAATTCTGGTAACTTTGACTCAGAGAAAACAGAGAATGCATTTTCCAACACACACAAAATCCCAAACAAACTCCTGAAACAAAGATGAAAAAACAAACAAACAAAAAAAAAACAATTCATACCTTCATGCTGCATTAGCTGTGATGATCTCCTTCAGCTTGCTAGCTATACATCTGTCCTCCCAAGGTATTTTACTGAAAATACTGGTGTGCTGACAGATTGAGCTGTCATGCCAAATTGGTTGGTGACTGGTTTCTGTTTTTGTTGAGGGATGTATGTCACTATTCTGAATTTGAGACACCTTCACTTGCTGAATTTTATAAGCTACATAATGTCACGTAGATTGAGTTGTGTCCTGTGTTTTACAAAAGCAGGACTGTTCTTTCAGTTAACTTATTTTGACAATGGTGCAAGGCTCTACCTGTGCATGTGCCTTGTGTTTAATCACTTCAGGACATTAAAGCCCATTATCAATGAAACAATTTTTACATCTTTGGTATTTTTGCTACTACTTTGTTCTTTTTCAGATTATATTCATGGTCGGTCGAGGGTATGCTTCTCCGGACCTCAGTAAACTGTACAAAAACTGTCCCAAAGCAATGAAGAGGCTTGTAGCAGATTGCTTGAAGAAAGTTAGGGAGGAACGACCTTTGTTTCCACAAGTAAGTGTTTTGTCACGAAGCCGGCGCTAGTTTCAAAGTGTTTTATTAATAGCCATTAGCTTGTGAACCATTCTATATAGATCCAAGAATCACTTTAGAAAAATGAAAGTAGATGCAGGAATACAGTGCAACTAAGCTGACCCATTTAAAAGGCAAGTAAAAAAAAAAGGTCTGTCTTTATATCTGTTTTATTTTAGTGCAGTATTAAGGGAGGCAAGTGACCAATCCTACTTTTCTTTCCCACAACTTGAAGAAGCAAACAAAATCCATTAGGGAATTTAAATGCGTCTTGCAGTTTTCAGTATTTTCATACGGGATACTTTACCTTATCTTGCCCATGCAAGGATGAAGCTACTTTCTTGTACTCACTAAATACCTGAAATTAAATAAATGGTAAAATAGTAAAATGTTACAATCATTTTTTTTTTCTTCTCTCTGCTGTTTAAAAGGTTCTCGCTAAATTTTGTTTCCTAAACAGTAAATCTTGGGGGCAGATTGTGCAGTTCTTTCTGTGTTACTGTCCTGGAGACCTATGTTGATTCTTGATATTTGATCATGGTGTAGAGAGAAGTATTTTCCCATCCTCTGAAACTTAATGAGCATCTTCCTAGGAATGACATGGAACACTGTGATTGTTCAAAGTGGCATATTGCTGGAATATTGTTTTAAATGCCTCCAAACAGTGTATTGCTGCTTTTAAGAGATGCTTAAAGCCACAAATAAGATTCAAGACTAGACAGACTTTTCAAGTATCTGTTTCTAACAAGGCTTTTCTTCACTTTTGTTTTCCTCAGATATTGTCTTCCATTGAATTGTTGCAACATTCTTTACCCAAAATCAACCGCAGTGCTTCTGAACCATCTCTGCATCGTGCAGCCCACACAGAGGATATAAATTCTTGCACACTAACATCGACGAGACTACCTGTTTTTTAGGATCGTGCTCTCCTCCCCTGGTTCTCCCCAGTAATGGGAAAGGAACAGAAATAACGGGAGTTGCTTTCAACGCCTCAGTGTACAGGATCAGTGCCAGCAGGATTATCTGCCTCCCAGTTTTAAGAACAAGCTGCTAAGGATTTCTGCAGTTCTTATCCTGCAGGACACAGCTCCACATTGCCTTTTTCTACAGTTTCTTTTACTGGGATAGAGTTAACAGACTATAATCAAGAGATCTATTACTATTTTTTTAATAGATGCACTTGAGCCTTATTTTTCCCATACCCGGAAGAGATGGATGTTTCTTTGGCAGTGTTTCTGGATTGATTTGAATCTGTTGATAAATTGGTATTTTTATAGCAAGGATGGCTTGACTTGATATTTGAGGAAAGATAATGCATTATGGTGTTCTTTGATTGTTCCATGCCATATGACACTCTAAGTTGGGGAAGTTTTGCCTGAACTGAGAATCTGCAAACAAGACTGAGGGAAGAGAAAAAAACAAAACAAAACAAACAAACAAACTTTCTGGAAATCAGCTCCTGCCTAAGAGCTTTCATCAAGCCAATGAAATAAGTTAAAACGCTAATTCAACACAATAGTTTTGCAATAGTTTTGCACATAGAAGAAAAACTCTTGCAAAGGAATGGAATATATTCTAAACTGTACTGCTCAGAGAAGGAAGCTAGCCAGTCTTGCTATGGTCATCTTCAGTAACTTAAGCAGCTTATTTTGGTACTATTGACTTGTTTCTTACAGCCCAGTGAGGTGTCAAGTGCAGAAAGAGGGGCTTTTGTGGCTGAAAAAAAAAAGCTAATTAACATTATCAGTATACTTCTGCAAAATGAGCATAGTCTCCATCCCATCTGAAGCTGTCGTCAGAGAGATGCACTATCAAGAGGAAACTGAGCATATGCAGTTTTTCTTGCTGATTTGGGTTTTAATTTTGTTTTTATTGCTCCTGAGAAAATGCATTTATTGTAAGCCAAGGTTCCTCTGATTATCTTATTTTAATAAAATAAATTAAATTTTAGGTTTAAGATACAGTGTCGTCATTTGTATAGAACTAGTTTTGAAAGATTCAGAAAATGATGTTTGGAATATATTTTTAAAAGTTACTAGGTTAGATATTAGCATTTTCCTGTAAAATCACACTTGATATGGCAACATGTAAGTATTTTTCCTATCACTTTCATTTCAAGATGGTTCTTACTGTACTGTCATAATCTTACAGGAGCATCCACTCATTTAAGATACATAAATTAATGAACTTTCAAGTTAAATAACTGCATTGTTTTTGCTCTGCATTTCATCTTCCACAAATCCGTTTTTTACCTACCTAGAAGTTAATGTTTTGTCATGCCTGAAGTCTATAGAAAATAGGTGGTTTAATTTAGTAACTTTTGTTTAATAGCATTCTGTTTAAGTATATTCATTAGAGAAAGAATAGAAGCCAAGTTTCCATTTTTGGACTGGGAGCTTGGGATTTTATGTGCTTCACTGCATATGGGGCTGCTATCCTCATATGTTGCTGAAGTCTAATGAGTGAACAGAAATTATGCCTGTAACCACTGTTACCTGAGTGCAGATAGAGATTCTTGCTGTGAATTTTGCTCACTTACATCTGCAATTCTCAGCTGCCTTTAACAGAGTCACAATAGTGATCTCGGTTTCTTAATTTGCAGCAAGAGGAAAAAAAAAAAAAGCACAAAGCTATTATGAATGAAAGAGAAAAACTTCAAGTAATCAAGCTCGTTAAACATGAAAGGTACTTAAAATTTACATGTAGAATCTTTGTCCTCAGAATAAATGTTAGGACAAAGCTTAGTATAGAATTAGAAGGGCAGAATATTAACCCATAGATAATAATAGTGTGACCATAAAATTTGTATGCTAAAAACTTCCTAGAGGAAACCTGTGTTCAGACTTGTTTATGTGATTTAATGACACTCTTGACATTTTAACTGCAACCCTCTCTAAACTTCATTTATACCTCACTTTACACAATATTTTTAGTGAAAGTGATGGTAAAGAGAATTGGAAAGCATTTTAATTTTTTTTAAATCTCTTAATTTTTAAAACAGATTATGTATCTCTTTAAATACTTTTGGTAAAAGCAAGAAGATTAATTTTGACCAGTACGGGATGTCAGCTTAAATAGATGAAAGCTGTTAAATGACAATTTTAAACAGTCTCATTTTCTAAGCCATATTACTCTTACAAAACTTACCTTGTTTTTCAAAACTGCCTAGGGAAAATATTAAAGGCATTTCTTTTTCCATTTCAAGCTCTCACTACCTGGTTTATGCCTCTCCCTAGGGTAAAGTAAATTTAAAAATATCTTGTTTAGCTGAAAGATAAAAGAACTTGCTCTCCATTGAGTACTTTACAAACCCCTATTCCAGCTTCCCCAGTTTGCTGCTGGAAATACTCTTCGAAACAAATGTGTATGCTAGAAATAAGCTTCACTGGGGAGACTAAGTGGTGCAAGTAATGTGAGACAGAAAATAATGTCTGGGCAAGAATTCTTGAATGTTTATCTGAATCTCACTCTTAGCAGTAATTCCTCTTATTCCTTTAAATACATCTTTTTTTTTTCCCCACAACGCAAAGAATTTGTCTCCTCAGCAGTCAAGCTTTCCAAGATGTTTGAGTCCTCTAACATGCCCAGTGCAGAGGAGCAGCCTTTCCAGGTACGCAATCCCATCCCATCAGTTAAATCTGAAAATTATTGAACCCTTACCTGTTGTGCATTAACAGTAACTGCTGGTTGTGCCTGGGGATCGGGGACACATAGAAATGGAGCTATTTAGAGTAAAACAGTTTCAGAAAGACGGATACCTTAGTATGTTAAAAACACAGAGAAGGAAAAGCCTAAGCATCTACCACCCACACAGCTACAATAAGCAACAGTAAAAACTAATTGTTTCTCCTGTAACCAAAATGATTTATTTTGTACAGTTGCAATCTATAAGATCATTGACAGGTCAGCAAATATTTTTGATTACTTCGTTTAATTGTGGCTAATTCATGTAACCCAAACCAAGGTTTTCCTTCATGTTACACATTTCAACTCATTAAACTGAACAAAAGTGTAAATATTGCCATTGTAATGAATATTGAAAGTTATCCATTCACATTATGTACTTTTAAAAACCTGATCAGTATTGTAACTTAATTCTGCTGTTATGTGGTGATTCCAGTGCCAGTTCTACTGCTCTGGCTGTATATATTAACTAGTATAGTTGTATTTATAATGAACGCTCTGAGGGACGCTTCCTCAATTAAGATAAAACAATTGAGATAAAACAATGGTAGGACATGAAGTCTTTGAGAGTCAGGCCTCACTGTAAAAACACAGGAAGCTTTTTCCTTACACTATGGTACTTTGAGGTATAATGTATTAGGCTTTTAAATCTCCTGTTGAAAAAGCTACACTCACCATTATTCCTACTGCATTCTCTTAGATATACTTTAGTTGACTTAGGAAGGAAAAATAAGCAAAAAAAAAGCCAACCCAAAACAGATTTAGCAACAGGATTTTTTTTAACAGTTTAAGCTTTAAAGGATAAGAGGGGAGCTGTATTTACGCTACCACTCAACTTACAAGACAGTATGTTAGGCCAAAGAAAGAAAACACGCTTGTGGGATTCAGGGATTTTTCCATGCAATCAAATTTAGGTTTTGTATGGCAACAAAAATTCTAAGATACATTTTAAAAGTTATTTGAAAGATTTACCAGGACTCCACAAGTAAACCACAGGACACATTCATTCCATCTGTGCTGTAAAAAGTAAATAGATAGTTGGATTGCTATACACTAAAGCACCTTTCACTCTCTTTATTGAGAAGTAGCAGAATCCTCATCAGCCCCAGAAAGGTGCATGAAAAGATCTCCCAGTTCTGTTACTTCATCATCTGTGCTGGACACAGTCCTACTTTCTCTGTCTTCAATAAAGTCCCAGAGGCGAACAGAATTGAAGAACTAGAATAGAAGAAGGTCTGATTTAGCAGGAACCAGTGCTTGTCCCAGTTTAAACAAAATACTTTGCTGTAGTATTGTTTCATTAAAAAAAATATCATGCCTGGAGTTAAATACTAGTGCAACTAGTTACTAACACCCTCCACCCTACTTGCAGTTATTTAAGTTCAAGGTGACAATCACTCTGTTGAATGTTAGAATATGGAAAATAGTTTAGGTCAAACTAATGAGCTATATTTAACTATTCTTAAATTATTCTTAAATGAGCCAGCCTTGATCATTCAGAACAGTGGCCAAGTGATAGCAAATAACTGAAATGGCTTTAACCATTTTAGCTGGTCACAGACAGCTGTCTACAGTTAAATGAGATCAGTTTTTAATACTACAGATGAAAGCTCTAACTGTGGAATTCCTTTGAAGAAAAAGTTTGCAATGAGAAGGGTTGTTTTAAAAACTAAAATCAAACCAATATTTTTTTCTACTAAATGAAAGGTAACTTCTCCCCTCCTTAATAAGAAAAAGTTGGGTTTTTTCTTTTCTTTTTTTTTTTTTTGTCTTCTTCAATGTTTCATATGAAGCATAGCCCTAGAGAAGCAACACTTCATATTCTAAGAGTGTTTTGAATTACAGTTGATTTGAGTATTTGCTTACCCGCACAGTCCCCTCGGAGCTGAGCTGTTTCCTTGGCTTTTCAGGTTCAGCTCGCCTCCCATCCGGATAAGCATGAAGGTAAAGACACTTTCCTCCAAATGGGCAAGTTCCCTTTCCTTGTTCAAAGTACTTGCACGCTTTTTTCCTGATTTGATTAGAAGAGAGAGTTATGCCTTCCGGTAGCAAGAGAGCAAATACAGTTCATGTTCCCTCGGTGCGGACATAAATCCCTAGCTGCTCATCTTGTCCTTACTTAGCGCTGCAGGGTGCAGCTCCTATTAACACCAAGAGTAGTTTTGCACTGCTCTTTCTCTGATGGCAGTCAAATAAATGGTAACAGTAATTAAAAGTGACAAAGAGACTACACAAGCAGCACCTAATGTCTAAAACTTAAATGATGGATGACACCTATGCTGCACGGAGATGCGTTTTCATCATAAGGAAAAAATTTCTTGCTATTTTTCTAGCATTCCTTCCCTAGAGTTCTGGCTGTAGAGCACAGTGCATTATTGCACTTGGGCTTTTTTTGCTAAAGCAATAAAGCACTTTATTTATCCCAATTCCCTCTTATGTAAGAGTATGGCAAAGCCAAAAATCCAAGTTGTAGCACTACCTGCCATTCTAACAAGACAAGACAAAACAAAACAAAAAAGGCTACCTTATTTAGAACACAGACATTTTAAAACTGCTGAACTTTGAACCCAGAAACCATTACCTTCACACTTCTTAAAAATTTACAACAACACAAGACAGGTGAGATATTAGAAATAAACAGTATCCAAAGGTCCTTAGTCTTACAGTGATACCGTTCAAATGTTTTTCCTCCATGTAAGATAAAAACAGGCTGAATGACATTTCCTTTGTAATAATTCTTTCAGCATTTTTTTCTGCTAGGTTATAATGTGACTTTAGAAACTTCAAGCTTTCCAAGAAGCATAAACACTAGCGACAACAGCTAAGCACAGATCTGAGCTATGCATATTTGTTCCATAAGAGGCCCTCCAAATAGCAAGTTTGAAGGGTCACTGCACATCAGAGAATAAAACCACACAACCTTTTTAAAAATACTCATGACAGGCTCAGTTCAAGCACCAAACAAACAAAAACCCTACTTGCTTATCATTAAAAGGAGTGGGCAATAAGAGAAATAATGGTATCTTACTGCCTTGTGAGCTAATGAATCCGTATGTATTCCAGGCAAGCAGAGATATGCAAAGCCCTGTTAAAACTATTCCTTAGCAGAACCTTCCAATGCTCCAATAACCAGACAGATCTTTATTAGACTATAAAGGAAATTAATTCCTGCAATACTTTTTTCCAGTTCCAGCAGAAATTACAACAGCTCTATGAAGTAGTATCCTATATTCCCAAGAGACCAACATATATATTTCCTTCCATATTTGTTTCCCTTAGTTACAGAAGGGCCTGGTATTCCAGACAGCAGAAAACACATAAATCCAACTTCAGCAAGTGGACTGAAATAGCCTCAGTATTTCAGACCACAACAGGTTAGAATAACTTCTCATCTACAAATCTACAGTTATGGCAGACCTTTGCAGAGCAATTGCAAAGACTGGAGAAAAAAAAAGGCAGGGGGCAGTTGTGCCTCCACCAGAGATTAGAGTTCTGTAGAATGGTTTATAATAGTGCAATGAACTTGCAAAATACTTGTATTTTGACTGACCAAGTCTTGGAGTACCTTAAGCACAAAATAAAAATATAATAGTTGTAGTTAATGAACTTACCCCATTCCCTGCTTAAATGCTTCGATCAGCTTATTCTTCTTCTCCTGGTCTTCCACCCAGTATGCACTAGGAATGACAAACTCCGATATCACACGGCACTCTGGACAAGACCTAAATGTAGCCAGACAAACAGGCAAAACTCTGTTACTGCTGAGAGGACACAGGCCTCATTTATGATGAAGTCTGTGACAAAAAGTCTGTTTTGGCAAAGGATTGAAAATATTTTCAACCTTTGTGTCAGGGTATTTGTAACTAGAGAATTTTTTTTAAGAGGTATTACAGGAAAATGCCCTAATTGGTTGGAACCAGGATTTTTTTTCTTTGAGTTCAGATCTTAACTAATGGCTATTGCTTACAGCCACAGAGTCCTTTACAACCAGATTTATTTCTGGACACAGAGCACACAGGTGAGTCCATCTCATGGCCCACAAAAAGAACAGTCTGGTTAACCTGAACTTACTTGATGATGGGATTCTCGAACTGCTTGGCACACCTCCATTGCCGGATGCAGGACAAACAGTAGGTATGATTGCAATTGGAAAGAATCCCAAACCTCCTCTCGGAAGCTGACGGCTTTTCATACACCACTTCCATGCAGATGCTGCACACTTTGTCCTGACTTGCCTGAAAGGCAAAGGCCTTCTCCATCTCATGCTCAAATGCCGCCATACACATCTGCCATGGAGACAGGTAACTGGTTATTACGGTCCATATACCAGCCCGAGTCTTGCAAAACAGTGACTATGAAAGGAACGTAATACAGGAGAAACAAAGAACACCAAGAATATCAGTTCATATCAACTTTACCATCTCGTGAGCCTTCCTCTGTTCTTGGTCGAAAGGGTGAAGCACTTGCAAGCCGCAGATTTCACACACGTCTCCGTGGAGGTAGAGACAGTGCTCGCCGAAGTAACAGCGTAGGGGCACAGCTGCTCTCCGTCCACGCACGAGCCCCCGGCTACCGGATCTTCCAGCCCGCTGCAAATAGCTTCCAAGTACGAATGGGGCTTCACTTCCACGCTCTCGTTTTTGTCACTGCAACATACCAAATCGCTTGTGGCACTGGGTTTCTGCTTTTCTTCATTTGAGCCACACAGATCTTAAAAAATAGAAACATAATATGAACCATAAAAGTCACACATGAAACTCCACACTCATTTTTTTTTTTAGTGATTGCCACCGCAAAAACTTTTACAATCAAATTACCCACTGCAAAACCTGATTTTAAGTTTTCTGCAGCAGTCTGCTGTTTAAACCAGGACAAAACTCCTCCACATTCACACGAGGTCAATCAGCACGCCAAACACAGACAGGAGAACAGGGTGGGAAGGCATGCAGACGTGCTAGCGACAGGAGGGTTGGCTCCCTTGCCCCGAGACATTAGGCACAAGGTGAGGTCTCTGTGCTTGTGCTCCTGAGTGCGAGTTAGCCCGACAACACAGCAACATCCAGACATAAAGCAGCCAAGTTCTTGCCATGTCAAATGCCTTCGTGTTGAGAACAATATGCAAAAAAAAAAAACCCTGAACAGTAGGAAATCCTGAAGAAGAAGAAAAATCTTTCAGGGAAGACGAAGTTGGAAACCAGCCAGTTAAAACTGATGTGATTAAAAGGTACTGGCATGGGTCTCTATAGAGAAGGGGCCTCAGGAAGACGGAAACACCATGAGCCCCTCTCTGTCTGACAGGGAATTAACATTAATTAGAGGTGGAAAACTACACAACTGCTATCAAGGCTGGGAGGCGGGAAGAGCAGCACTCACTTCTGTCCCGCAGCACCAGCGTCTTCTTCTCACGCCGGCCGGACTCCCGCTGCCGCGGGCAGCCGCGTGTGGTCATACCTGCCGGGGGAGAGGCAGAGCGGACGCTACGGAGGTGGAACTGGGGCAGAGGGGAAGCGGAGAGCTGCCTCCATTAACACCTCTGCCTTCATTTAACAAAACCAACCTGGAGAGCTGTCTTGAAAAAAGGGCTGTTTTGACAAGAAGTTGACTCAACAGCTCGGTCCCTTGCAAAGCCAGGCCACAAGGTTGCCCAGTCTCCCTAAAGCATCTAAGCAAATGGATGCCTACCTCACAGGTATTTTCTCCCCAGAGACAGGCTGCATGGCTGGGATAGCATTATTCATGCGCATATTGAAGTAGATCCTCGTCATTCCCCCCCACAAACAGGTTTGCTGACGTTTCTCCAAGAAGCAACGTCAAAAGGCAACGACTGACATTTTGTGATCGCTCGTGTTCCCCACACAAGCAGGGACACAAACTTTGTGCCCCCACAGAAGATGCAGTACTTGAACACAGGCTAAGAAAGGGCTCCGAGCATCCCACAGAGCTCTGGAAATGTTCTCCAGCACCAGGACAGAAGCAATCAGTGCAATACAAAGGCTGGTCCATCTCTGAATGGTCCAGGTGGTATCCATCCCTGAATCCTAGCCTATTTTTGAAGGCAACAAGGGAATTCTCCACGTTTGTTTCTAGCCCGTGTAGCAGCAGCACCCACAGATTTGCCATGCACATGAACAGCTCATGTGCATCAAGTGCCCTCTACAGCAGCAAAGCAGCTGCAGTGAAACACCAGCAGCTGCCATTGTTTCCCAGTCACCAAGCAATGGGGTCCCAGTGAATAATAAACTACAGTTCAGTCAGAGCAGCTAAAGGGACTCTCAAAATACTCTAACATTCACTCGCCCAATCCAACCTAAGTACAGCAAAGCTTCTGGAACCACAACCAGGTGACGACATCTCTCCTGTGAAGCTACAAAGCTTCTCATCTGGCACCAGAGTTTTTGCATGGAGGAGTCATGAGTTGCCCTGTAGCTCTAATGAGATGTAAAACATTCACCAATACTTAATATTTACTAGAGTATTTCTCAGCGTTGTACCACAAAGGCTTTAGGAAATGGCACATGTTCCACTTTCCCATAAAAATCCCTTGCTCTAACACAGAACTGAAAGTCCTCAAAAGCCCCAGCAGGATGTGAGAGAACCCGGCTGTGCTCTACGTGCTGTGAGCTGAGGGAAGCCCTTCCACAGCTCTGCCACAGCCAACTGCCTCAGCAACAGGGAAAGTAAACGATTCCAATGGGTATTCTTCTGTACAAAGGTACACATCATAGCTTCTGCTTCTAACATTTAACCATTCTTAAAACACTACGAAAAAAAGTGAAAATACACTTGAAACCTTAAGTTTCATTTCTACAGCATAACTAATGAAGCTAAAATAGAGCCAGACTGTATTGCATCCATCAGGAGGTTTTGGAAGAGAGAGAGAAAAACACAGAGCTCATTATTTAACACACCGTTTCCTATCTTCAGCACTTGCGAGTCT